CAACAATGTGCGGACTGCTATATATCAAAGTTATGTTTCGCCTTGGCGCTTTTAATCATATCAACTACTCTCAACCTCTTCTTTCTCTCTCGTCGGGTAGATTATCGGTATTTAGCTGTTGTCTATTGGGAATAACCCCGGGGGGCCATAGGTGAAACTGGAGCATAGACAGAAGACCAAACATTGATGATAAACCCCGAAGGGACGCTACAGTCCCTAATACCCCAACTTTTGTACTTTTAGTGCCAATTCCACCATCCATAATAAACATTCTCATTTATCTTATCCTCACCGAGCTTGTCGACGATCTGCCGAATTACTTCATAGTATTTCACTGCAAGCTGGTGTTTTGCAAAGTGGTCTCCGTGTATCTCAATCGTACATTTGTTGGATCAACGAAAGCACTGTGCTGTTTTCATTCTTATTTGCCTCCAGGGCTAACCAGCAGAATAACATTGTGCGTGACTGTCGAGTGCTCGGAAAAAACAAATAGCGTTTGTCTGTCCGTTACCACCTTTTCGAAAAAGGTGACTTCCAGTAAGATGATACTGTCTATTGATCGACCAAATCATGCAGAAGTTTCTTCATTTACGCTACTTTTACGTCCATTTTGCTTGGCTGTTGGTCCTTATTCTAACATTATCTTTCGGTTTTATTCTATTTAGGATCATGATCTAATATTTTACGGATCCAACCAATTGTGGCGACTGCCCATTTGTAGCCCAATTATGGCCTGCCACCAGTTGATTGATTTCAGTTGTTGATTCATGAGTTATCCACCGGACACATCACGATCCTGTCATGAAGCAGATGGCCGGAGCGATCGAAGCGGAGGCAGCGGTGGGGCCACAAGTAGTAGTGGAGGCGGTGTTTATGGAACTTTATGTAGCAACTTAGGTGGCAAATGGCCCATTCCAGTTTCTACAGCTCTATCAACTACAGCCACTACTACACCCTCTGGGGAGTTAATTCATGACCCATCGCATCATACCAGCTTATCACATGACAGGCTTGTCTCTAATTGGAAAAAGTGGTCCTTAGGGTTGGACTATCTTCTGCAGGACAGTGAAGGTGTGGCTTTGTTTAAAACCTATCTACAATATGAAGGATGTTCCAACCTGCTTGATTTCTGGTTCGCTTGTCAAGGATTTCGGAGCAAAGTCGACCCGAGTGACCATCGGAAAATTGCGCAATTAATCAAAGTTATTTACAGGACGTATATTCGGGGATCTGGTAGTGGCACAGTAGGTATGACAAATGTCTCCCTCTCTGGTCAGTTGGCAGAGTCGCAAACCAACCCTAATGTGTTGCAGTCCAGGACTGAACCTATTCGACTACGGACGGAGACCAAACGCATGATATCGGAACGTATTTCTCGTAAACATTCGTTAGACCAAAGCGTATTTGATCCTGCTCAGACGGAGGTAGAGCATTTTCTTCGTACCACCGCCTACCCAGCTTTCCTGAAGTCGGATGTTTACGTAGATTTCCTGCAGTCCACAATTGATGGGTCAACCCATAAATTTGTGTCAATTCAAGATCCCAGTGCTAGATCTGTGCCCGTCGGTGGGTCTGGAATGGGTTGTCCCAATGTTGCCACTGCTACTTTCTCCGGAAATGTTGTATCACATCCTTTAGGGGGTAAATTCCTTCCCACTTTGGAAGAGGACCGTGAACTACGTTCAGATGAATTGCCTTGCTATTCCGTTCAACAGGGGCGTGCACATCCAGCTCCTAGCAATCTGAATGTTGCTGCTGCATCGGTGACGTGTGCGGTTTCGCATTCGCAACCCCAACTGCATTGTTTACATTGTTCACAGTATCACTCCCAGGGTCATCCGATGTGTCCGCCAAATGACCGAGCCAATCCTTGGTTAGCACAAATGCCTCATCCGGCCCAACCTGGTTTGCGACCCTTCGGCTCTGCCAATAATCCCATCGGGTTACTGGCTACTACATCTATTGCCACCACGGGCACTGGCGCTGCAGCACCATTGACTACTGAAAATCTCCAGATGACCAGATTTTATCGCGCGGAACTTTCGATGCAACAGCAAGCGTTTATAACCCCTTCTGCAGGCAGTTCCAACATGATTCGTATGATGCATCATCAGCCGGTTGATCTCCTGTCACGTCGCCCATACCCTCAAGGAACATGTGATCTAACAACTGGGTCCCCACGACCGTTGGCTTCCTATGGACACACACACTGGGCAGATGCACTATGGTAAGAATACACATGCGCATCAGCACCGCAGTTTGTTGGGATCAGATATAAATTCGTTCGCTATTGATAGAATAGCACTGTTTGACGCTACATAACCAGAGTCTCTCAGCTCCTTTTTATGAGATAGCTGCTAGTGGCTTATCAACTCGAAGTCTCCGCTATTGGCTTTAAGCCATCTCATTTGGTGGGTTAATCACCCACAGTGGAGTGGGTTTTCAAAGTTGGATATCCGCTACTTTTCTATGAGGAGTCAAACTCCATTTCCGTAGATATTAGCTCTACTTCTCTGTTTCCCTTGCCGTGCTTCCAATCTATTACTTGGGTCTTATAGAGCTGTAGATAAAGTCATGTTTAAAGTGACTTTTCCAGAATGATTTTGGCTAACCTTGTTGCTGTTTAAAATGCACTTAGCTGATGCCTGCGACGTTTGGCATATCTCTATTCAACGTCCGTACAAAATATAGATTGTGGGTGTAAAGTTTAAATTCGTTAAAAGATTTAAGTGACATGAAAAATCAAATCATTTAGTAACTTTTCTTTCGTCCGCTTATAGCTATTCGTGTTTAGCATAGTGTTCAAAGGCATATGGGATATTTATCAAAAATGAGGCTAGGCTCATAACTGCGGAGAGTGTTTTTAAAGTGTAGGAACGGTACATAAATCCTTGTATAAATGAAAAATGTGATGACATAAGGTCGCTGTTTCGCGAATTAGTATCCATCGCGAGAGTCCAACTTCCGTAGCATATAAGCAATCGTCATTTTTTGTTGGTAAATAACCTGAACTGATTTTTGTCAATCTGGGCACTTTTTAAACCCCGTTTCTTTTTACGTTATCACTCTTTTCCGAATGTACCAATACAAAAGCCCACCATCAGCACCCCCGACTGACTTATGCAGCTCGTCTAGACTGCCCAGTCAACCTCCTAACCCGTACCACATCTCTTACGCTCCGGTTTCGGCTCGAGACTCTGAGCGTCACAGTTTATCCAGCGAGGCGCGAACGGATGATACACATTCGCACACCGATAGCAGCCAGTGAGTTCATCCTTCCCGTTTCGTTTCATTCCCACGCCTTTTATTGGTCTCTCTGTCTATGTCAGTTTCCTGTTTTTTTTATCCGCTTACATCTGAAGTGACTCAGTCCATCATTTCCCTCGCTAATTTGAATACAAGGGAATTGTGGTTTACTGCTGAGTAGTAAATTGTTATTGTTGTTTGTTTCTTGATCCGAATCAGACAAAGTTCCGACGCTTTACCAGGTGAAGTAGTTTGAGATTAAGTAATACAACAAAATCTGCCCCCATGTCCAAGCCTGCATTTTGTGCGAGAAATAGAATGTTCCAGGAACCAGCAAACTAAATGATCGGCTTCATCAGATCCCCATCAGCCGAAATTGGACGAGGGACAGATGACATTCGCATCTTTAACGACGAGATGTTAATGACTGTTAGGTAAAAGTAACTGATAAAGTGAAAACAAGCACTGTTGTGGTCTACAGTTGACTAATACGTTTGCCATGCACGCGTATGGTATGATTGATTGACTGGTCGATGCTGCCTTCTAATCCCCCCCCCCACACACGCACGTCACTTGAACCTACTTTCTGATGAAATCGATCCGCTTCAAACAATCAGATGTCAGTATTGAACTGTCCGCGCCGATTGATTCGTTGACTGCTTAACTACCCAGCTTGACCGCGTTCTGTTTTCGTGCGACGCCTGCGCCGCTTATTGGCCTGTCTGTTTGCTTGTTGACGCCCCTACTTGCTCGCCGGTCCTCGGACCGACTGCATTTGCACGCCTTACGAGTAAACGTATCGCCTAATTTATTGAGTGGTTATTTGTCCGCTTAAGCGGGACATAGCAGGCACAAGCTCAGTAAAAACCATCAGTGACAGTTTAAATTGCATGCATAGTATTGATGACATCAGAAAACATTTATTTTTCCTCGATCGCTTGTCGATCTGGATGCGGTCCGGGCAAAACGTTTTTTAAACCAGCCCGTTTCATCCGGTGACGGTTGACTAACTGTCATCATATCCACACGACACTCGTAAACAGACACAGTTCCATACTTATTTGAGGTTTTTTCTTCAGTGTATGACGCTGGTGATTTGACTATATCGGTCTCCAATGTGGAGAGTAGGAATCGTCAAGGGGCATTTGGATTATTTCATGGAGTCGTGATAGCTCATCCGCACATCGGTTTTGTGGTTCTGGGATTCCAATCTGTTCACGTAGAATTTGCTTGTACCTAACGGCTCCTTAACGGTACCTAGCAGTAGAGAATGTTAGCGACCTACTTACCATCGTGGTGACCAAATTTATAGTATTACATACTACCTAGTGTGCCATACACCGATGATACTGTACTATTGAGTGAATATCAAAGTAAGTCTGAAATTTTAGTGTGGCTATGTTCGCCATATA